TTGACATGAAAGAAACTATTTCGGTATGGTCCATTGGAACAATTGCACAAAGGATCCCTAATGCCTCGTGTTCATTAAGGGGCATGCACATTATGTGCTATAAACATATTGGTAATTAAGGTGACCGTTTAGAGGATACTTCTATCACCTTCATGTTTTGTATTTTGAATTATTTAAAACCTAATGTTCTCAACTGTTTTCAGAACTTTGTCCCTCAAATTTTTGTTTTTGCAAAATTTGCTACTTAATTAATATTATCTTTTGGGTGATTTAGGAGAAGTTTTTTACGTTAAGTTGTCAAGCCATGCACCCCAAAAATTATTACGAGTATGAAAAAGGAATCTGGTGAATGAGTTATGTGGAACGTTTTCTGGGAAAAGCCTCCGTGAAAAGTAGCGATGTTTCTGGTGTGAATGATGCTGCTGATATGGCTGAAGGGAGTAGGATTCGTTAACAAATTAATTTGTTAATTTCGAGAAAATACTTGCACAGATTTGGCGCTGTAGGTTATGTCCTTTATGCAAATCATACAATTTACTGACATCTTCTAGTATAAAAAACGATATAAAAGAACCAAAAGTGGCAAATTCCATTAAGAAAACATTTTCATAATGAGCCTAATGCATTCATTCGTGTTAGAACCTAGTGCTATTGACTTCGGGTACTATTGTCAAATCCAACAATGAAAATAATCTTTGCTGACAACATTGCTCAAGCTTAGGCAATAACAAATGCCATTTACGTTAAAAATAAAAGATGCCGTTTACGTTAAAAGAAGGAAAAAACAAAAGGGAAAATCGCCATTTCGCCCTCAAACTTAATGATTTTATACTTTTAGTATTCCAACTATTATTTGTATATTTTTAGCTCCTAAATTGCTAAACGCAAGTACTTATGGTCAGTCTGTCAAATTAAATTGTTAACTCTAATGGAATGCAGTGCAAAACGATGTAAATTTGATCTCTTCTTCGTTAAATCAGGTTTGGTGACCACTATAACTATTTCACCACTAGTTAACTGCAATTAGCCACCAATTAGCCGTCATTGACCGAGGGTTGACCTTCACTTTATCATTGTCAAATTTTGATGAAATTACACATCCGGACCTCATTTTGTGCATAGATACCAAATTTGGACTCATTTTAAATGGATCGCACAAAGTGTTAGATCGTAATTCTATTATCATTTTATAGATCTTCCACCAAGTCTTTTGAGTTTTACAAAAAAAATGTTCCTTGAAGTAGCAAGAAAAAATATGATATGAAATAATCTAAAATTCATAATTCAACTTTGCACTATTGCAACTTTTTCTGGTTACTTCAAGAACCACTATATGTCAACTTAATTTGCCAATATTTTATCTGATGACGTTTTCATGTCATGATTGGTCCGAATATATGATTCATTTGTACGTCCTAATTTTGTTCAACTAAAAATCTTACAATTTGGGTGCTCCCTTTACTACTTCGGAAAAAAAAAAACTTTTTAGTTTCATTCATGTATCGCACTTGATGCTCTATATGTTGACTTTAACCTTTCAAGCTAACGAAAAGAGTCACAAGTATACATTTTTGACAATTTAAGGGCCAAAAGGATACAACGAATATTTAAAGGGCTAAACGTTTGAGGGCCAAATGAACTTTTTGCACTAGAAAAAATTTTAGGACTTTCCACTGAAATTGGCAAACTTAACATCTAAGCTAACCCCACAAAAGAACCCCCAAAAGGCGTTAATTTTTGGAGTCTCCTATGGAACTTAAATCCTAAACCCACAGACCCCAACAGATCGATGTGGGACGCGGGACAGGAAAACAAGGAGGTTGAAAAAATTGTAGGGCTCATATAATGAATATAATTTATATCACAGTATACATCACAGTGTACTATAAAATTTTGTTAGATATGATGAAAAATTTTATTTCAAACAAGTAGACAATAAAACAGTTCCCCTTCTAAATGCCCTCAGTTATATCCTCTCTCTCTCTCTCCCTCCCTCTCTCTTAATCTGCTTATGTTCTAACCACGCATCCACAATAATGTCGAAGTTGAATTAATCCCCACAAGTACGAAACCATTACTTGAAACACATGGATTTGTCACTATAGAACAATTGGCAATTTGTTTAGATGTAGTTTCATATTGCCCGCCCAATTTTTAGATGTTATGGCTAGGATACATGGCATGACCAACAAATGGCCCAGATTTGGCCAAAAATTTGACTTTAACACAATGAATGAAAAGAACTAAATAATTTTTTCTGGGGGAAAATTGTAAAGGTTTTATTGATCAAAAAATCAGTGAAGTTTGCACACAGAGGAAAAGTCTTCTTTTTTTCTCTATCAGACACTAACTATTTACATTTCCAGTCAACCTATACTTAACAAGTAAGAGAAACGTTCCACCCCCCAAACGAGCCAGAATCACGTTTTGGGCATTTGAAGTAATAGCTAACAAAATGCGAGTAGAAAAGCAAGGAATGTATCGGAACATAGCTGCATTCCTTGCCTTCCAAACCTGATATATGAAGAAAGACGAGGCTAATCCTTAAATGCACCCAGCAAAGTTGGTTGAATTCCAGTGATCAGCTTGTTAGATCTTTAATCCAACGTTAGATTCGCATGTGAATAATTATGAGTTACAGATTGTCAAATAAGATTAAATTCAATTAAAGTGATTAATTATGATTTGAGGTTTAATATATCTAATAGAATATGGGTTGTGTAGAAATTTAAGTGTTATTTGTATTTTTATGATGGATTGAAATAGGAATTCAAAAGATAACAAAAAAATTTTCTATAAGTAAGGTTATGGTTCTTAAGTCACATATATTATTATTGTCGTACTTTAGTACTACAGAACAGCTCTCTCTTGATATTTCATCATTAAAAAAAAAATACTAGAGAGAAACTAAAGGATTCTTTCAAAAGAACATCGAATATATGTTGATCTGGAAGATCGTCCTAAGACTTTAAGGATTCAAATATCAGTCAGTCAACATGAATCCAGGCACACTTTCACAATTTTGTTGTTAATTTATTTCTTACTAATTACCGTAAAAATTTTGACTTTAATAGGTGATAGTTTTCACCAGTAGTTCATATAAACAAGCACTAATAAGTGGTATCGGAGCTAAATAAGGCTGATGATTGAGAAATAATTTATGGTTTAGTAATTTCTGAATTTTCTGGATAAAATCAAGTGTACAAATTTATTGTTTATTATGATGCTTCCGTTGGCCGACATGATGCAAAATCAAGTGTACAAAATTCATTGTTTAGTTTTTTGGTTTCCATGTTCATTAAAAAAAAAACAAAAAAAAATTGAAGATAGAAAACGCCTACGTGAATAACTAGTTGAATTATCATTTTAGTTGGCTATTTGAAACTTTTAGTAATTACGATAACAAAAAATTTTAATTAGAAATTGAGAATTCTTAGTGGCTGTTTTTCACCTGCAAAAAATGCTACTGCAAAGAGCCATACCACTAGGAAGAAAAACCAGTTAAAGAGAAGAAATGATAATCAAAGACACAAGTCATTAATTTCATTCAGAGGGTCAAGTTACACACGCATTCCTGTAAATTCTCCCAATTAATTAGGCATGACTCTATTCTAAAACAAATTGAGCCAGCTAAATTGGCCACCAGAGGAAGGACTAAGTCCCTCCAAGGACGTAGCTCAGGGAGTCAGACCTTCCTAACCGCTATTCCTCTCCAAAATTTCTTGGAACATGGGCGAAGGTTATCTGGCCCCCTTCAAGTCTCTCAATAGATTCAATATCTCCATCCCCATCCCCTTTCTCCCAGTATAGGACCAATTGTAACAATGTCATACTAGTGATTCGAAAAAAAAAAAAAAAAAGACTCTATCCTAAGATATTCACAACATTGACTAATTATTCTTTTATATGTAGCAAACGTAAATTACTGAGACAATCAAATACTCGGACCCACAAGAATTCTTAAAAGTGCATTAGAATTTAGAAGTGTATGGTAGAGGTGTCAAAATGGGTGACTTGGACGGATTTGGATTGGGTAAAATGAATAATAGGTATAAATGAATCAACTCATTTATGCCCATTTAATTAGATGGGTATAAATGGATAAGTCAAAAAATGAATTGGGTAACCCAATTTCTCATTTATAACCCATTTATTTTAACTTTTTGTAAACTCATTTAAATTCATTTTTGCAAACTAAGTTATCAATTTATACCACTCTTTGTACCCATCATTAGTTTTAAATATTTACTTATAATGTTCAATAAACTTAATTACCAATTTTTTTCATTTATACTCTATGTCACTAAATTACCTATTATTTAATAATTGAATAATAAGATTATAAAAATTTGAACTAAGTACTATAAAAATTAATATAAAAACTTAATCCAAAAATTTTGAACCCCTAACATTTTTTCATATATAAATTTAAAATTTCATTTTATAAAGATAAGAAAATAAGCTAAAATTTATCATAAATTGGTAATGCTAACAAATGAGCAAGTTAACAAACTAAGAGAAAATAAAATAATAAGATAAAACCAACAAATAATAATAATAATAATAATGAAACAAAAGTAGTTAACATCATAACAAAATGAAAAATTTGAAAAAAAAAATGGGGGAAAAGATGAGATTTGAGGGGAAGAAAATTCTAAATGAGTTACCCAATAATACCCATTTAATAAATGGGTATTATTGGGTAACCCATTTATACCCATATACATACCCATCTATTCATGGGCGGGTATGGGTAAATTTAGTTAAGTGAGTTGATTTGCCACCTCTAGTGTATGGGGTCCCCTAAAATTGTCAATGAAAATAAGGATGCAGTTCACTCATTAGGTTCACCTTACTGCCAATACCAAGAAGCAACAGACAAACTGAAAAGGTGAATGAATAAATAGTAAGTAATTAGAGCTAGAGATGGATAAAAAAATCCTGGATTAAATGAAGCAAGAATACACAACCAAAAGTTCCAAAACCCGAGTCAGTTCAAATACTGTAATAGCTGATAAATACCTTATCATAATGTGATATTAAAGAAGAAAATTGTGTCAATAACTGAACTTTCAGAAACTTCTGCCTTGTCTGGTGAGCTACTAAGGTTCACAGCGAGAATTACCCCTACTTTTACATACATATTGGAACCAAATATCAGACAAGTGTAGAAAAATCAATGAGCATTCTTGTTTGCAAACTACAGAGTCTTACAAATAAAAACTTTATGAGATCCTCCATTTCCTCTCCAATTCGTAGCATATACGTCTCACACAGACACCTGCACTCAAAGGAAGTGCAGAAACTACAAGTACAAAATCCAGACAAGATATTAACATATAAAGAAAAAAGGCCAATCATACACAAAGCCATTTTACTCACAGGAAATGTGTATTTTCAAGCATGTAGGTGCATATAAAAACAGTACCTGATATAAGATCATCTGTGTAGTCACTATTAATTTTCCCATGAGCCATGGCACCAATCTGTTGGGAAGTTTTCAAAATTTTAGAAGTGGCCTACCAGAAAAAACAATAGTAAATCTAATTAAGACAATTAATCCGAGGAGACCTAAAGCCGTACCACAAATACAGGAGTGCAATCATTGCCCACATCATCAACATAGTCCCGCAACCTTACAGCATTTGGTGAACTAACAGAAAGCCCTGAACCATAAAACTTTTCTACATTGTCAAATAAACAAAAGAAAGATGCATTTTCCATAAAATGAGCAAATTCAACAGATTACCTATTATTCGAGAATTAACAGGCAAATGCTTGACCAAAGGGTTGTCAATCAACTGCATTAGTTTCTCACCCCCACCCCTAGCTTTGATACTAAACTTCTGCAACAACTGGGCTGTATCATTTATTAAAGTGATATGGGGAATGCAAATGAGTAGAATGAGAGTAGGTAGGTGAAAAGGGCACATATAATAAACATAAAACAATATAGAAGACTCACACATCATAGCACAAAATTTGCCCAATGTCGGTGGTATGTGTACATGTGGCTTGATTTTGATAAGATGCCCTAGATCAGTTTTAACAAACACAGCCTGAACCATACCAGCCATATTAAGTCGGCTGCCCAGTATATCAACGAGAATCTGGAGATACAAGATATAGCAAAATAGATGGTCAAGGTGAGCATGATTTTGAATAAAAGAGAAAAAAAACATGGGCTCAAGCAAGAACAGACTGATACATAGCACTTTATTGCCACAATGGGATCATTGGGAGATAGAACATTATAGATCCTTCACACACGGTCATATGGAAACAAAGTATGACGAGACTATACAGGCATTCATAGGTAGAACAAGAAACAAGGAAAACATTCCATGCAGAGAACTTAGAAAATCCAGATACAAAATCAATAGATTTTACTACTCTATGTCTTCACATATAAACCAGGCTGCTGTACTTTGCACCTTTTTCCTCTTTCTTTTTGTTTTATTTTATTTTTGGCCCTATGGAGGGCTCAAGGCCCAAAGCTATTCACAAAGATGTCGGTCTCAGCATATAGACCCCTCTGCATTCTGCTCAAGAAGGCTCCTTGATTTAAATGCTATACAAAAAAGATAAGAATCACCTGCAATGCAAAATATTAATGGAATGGAACATGGGAAAACATGAAAGCATGGAAGCAGCCGAAAAGTAACAAAATACCGGATACTACTCCCTCAGATGGATGTTCATTTATACAACCATAAACAAATGGAAAGGCCAACAATACACAAGATGTCAGATGCATTTATAATGTATTTAAGTCAGTAAAGAACAGGAATCTTTTCACTTCTAAAATGACCTACAAAGGAGACATTGCAAGTGGATGAATGCATTCTTAATGCTGTTGGATATGCACACCCCTATCTTCTCTTTACCTACTGGCTACTACTTTAGGTAGAAGCACCAAAAAAAAAAAAAAAAAACACACTCACACACACACAAACTTCTAATTCATTTTTAAGCTTTGGTCTTTATGAAGACTATGAAACTCGGATTAGGCAGACAACCCAATGAAAACCCTATAGATTACACAAAATAACTTAGTACCAAACCACGACGACACAGAGAGAGAGAGAGAGAGAGAACTTTGTCAAAGTCAAGTGTAATCAAGTAGGCCTGTCCAAAATGCTTTTCCTTCTTATCTTTATCTCCAAAGTCCTAGTCAACTCAGTCAGTTACGCTTTCTATTTTTCCTTACCCTAGGACCCTTTTCTCCAATCTAAGGGTCTCAACATTCAAAATACACGACAAATTCCAGAGAAAAATGAGCTCATAGTAGAAGTAATTTAATATTCTTTCTTTGACATCATTAGGCTGAGAGATTTCAGGAAAGCCACATGGAAAGGTATGTAAGGATCATGGAAAACCATAGAATTTGTAATCATGTTTAAATAGATTTCAAATTCCCATGCTTAAGAGATTTTATAATGCCAGAATTTTTAAAACCTGGAAACTTCATAGAAAATGGCAATGCAAATTAAAGAATATTGTCAAAGGAACACACAAAAGGAAGAGAACTTCTCCTGAATTAAGAAGTAAAACGATAATAAATGAATTCTATAGAGAAATAACTAATTTATTTGGTTATTCTTTGCCTCCATGCTCCATTACTTAAATAAAGGTTAGGTAAACTGAAAATATGCCTCGCTAATATATTACCATGACAGCAAGATTTAGACTACATCTATAAGACATGAAACAGCCAGGGATTGAAAACTGAGTAATGGTAAAGAATGGATCATCTTTAACAGGAAACATAGAGGAAGCTATGACTCAGAATGAGGGCTTAGCACTGTAACTCTCGTAAAAAACCCTTACTGAAATTTTGGTTGGTAAAAGACCAAATACTACAATATTAACTAAATCAGCAAGGCCCAGAGATTTTATGCAGGGAACTTGGTCATTTATAAGTTACTAAAGTGAAAAATAGAACATGGATGACAGACATAAAGAAATATGCACACCAGCACACGCACGCACGCACACCAGCACACGCAGGCACACACACCCACACACATATATATAATGCACACACCCACACACATATATATAATGCATGCACATGTATATGTACATGTATGGAGAGAGAGAAAGAGATAGTGAATATACAATTGTCGCTATTGGTGTATACGCAAATATATTATATAAACTTGTTTTTATGCCTCTCTCTATGTATACAAATATAGATTATTATGACATTTATAACATTTACAACTTTAAGTAGAAATTATACCTACCTCTAAATCTGCCGAGACTGATCAATCATAAGCAGAGACTGTGAAGAATAAAGAGCTCATAATTTTTTAATTACCTTCAAGAATGCTTCTGAAGAAAAACAACAAACAAAATTTGGAACAAGATTTCATACACATCTTCTACTTTGGATGTTGAATCTCAAACTGATTTCAACTCACAAGTACAATCTAAATGCAGGAAAAACATCGAATATCATTTGCAGAAAAAGAAACAAAAATGAACCATCTAGAGGGTGGTTAGCCTGCCTTAAACTTGGTAGAAAAAGGACCAAAAACAACACAAGATCATTGACTTTCCATATATAGTGGTTTAATTTACAACAAAGTTTAATTACAAATTGATTATCATAAGATTAAAAGGAAAATCTAGCCAACTTGACCAAGAAACTAAAGCCAAAGAAAGATGATCCATCAAAGGAATGGGAAACATTAAGTTTCTGAGGTTACATTCAACTGTATAATTATGGATCACATATTTGATTACCTAGATGCAACTTCAAGTTATTAACTTGTGTCTAATTTATCCTTCAATGACACCAGCCTATAATACAAAGAAACAGAGATGCATTTTTATAGTCAGACTAGAATCTCACAAACAAATAAAGAAAATAATTCTCTCAACCCTCAATTACACAACTCATAATCTTAAGAAAGAAAAGATACAGATGTATCTCTAGCACATGAACAGAGTAAAGTGAGCAAGCAAAGAGCAGATCGAGATCATTTTTGTCTAAACTGAGACATCAGAGTTTATAAAAATCAAATATAAAAATTCCATAAAAAAAACATGAGCAGATTGATAACGGATACAAAGGAATTTCCTTGAGATATTCACAGTATCATCTTCAGCAAGAAAGAATTTAACAGATGAAAAGCCACAAAACTACTAAACACTCTGCAAGTAATATCTTCAAGGTAAATTTCCAAATTCAACAACTATGTCTAGATCATAGCATTCATCAAGTACGAAAATTACCTCATGGACAATATCAGGTCTGTAATCATAAGGATTCATGTTCTTCTTTCTTAAAAAATCAGCATGCTTGTCTGGATTCAATATCTCGTATGTCTGAGGGAAAATAAAAAGAGAAACCAGCTTGAAATTTAATCATGCATCAAAATACAAGTATGAAAGCATCGAGCCTAATTATGTAATACCCTTTGAACAAATTGAAGAAAGCAAAAACAAAATAAATATTTAGAGAATGCAAAAGTTGAAGAGTATTATCCTCATCTACCCTTCCGACATAAGCAGGCACAAGTGAAGCTTTTTCAAGAACAAATGCTACACCAGACTTTGGGTGGTTGCTCGAAGGAACTGGTGGAATCCCTGGAAGTACATCCTCAGAGTCACCAGCTTTTGTCTCCTCTTTTCTGGCTTTTGCCATGTCTTTCTTCCTTTCCTCACCTTTGTTCACAGCATGTTCATGTTCTTTCTCTGGTTCAAGCTCTTTTGTAGAATGACTTAGAAGTTTCTCCACTGAACAAGGACGCAATATGCTTTTCCTCCGTCTTCTTTTTACCCTAATTAAAAAAATAATAAACCTCAAAATGGGAAACTCGCACACGGCAAGTACAACTGGAGAATAAAAAAACAGCAGGAAAACATGCAAAATAGAATAAGGCACATAAGGAATAGCATACCAAAACAGTCAAGATCTGCTATTAAGACAACTGGATACACTCTTCTCAACTCGTCAGAAATGCAGCAAAGGACCTCAGGTTATTTTAGCTTATCATTCTTCCAGGTTTCAGTTATAGTGGATAACATTACCATTCCAAAATTAAATTCAAAGAAAACCAGATCAATTAAATTGTGTGCATGTAAACCTGAGCTGCAGAAGGCTTGGGAGTTCATCAAGTTACAACTTACTCCTTGATCATTGTAAAGGAGGCTTAAGAAAAAAATTCCACTACCTTTATCATTCCAAATAGCTCTTATCTCTAGTATGCACATACTAGATAAAACAGATATGTATTAAGTTTCTTAGTAGAGTCACAAAACCATCTCTAACCACATCTATACAAACTGCATGTCAAAATTTGACAACCTAGCAATGTTTGCCAATGTCACAAAACATATAAAGTGGTCTTGCATTTATCAAAAACTTGATAAAACAATCCCAACTTGAAATTCAAGAAAAACTCTGTTAACAGTATAGATATAAAAAATGAATACTCACAGAGCATAACTCCAACAGCAACATAAGCAATTTTTATTAGCACTGAAAAAGATACTGTAAAATAAATAAAGTCACATTAAGAAATGGTAGAAACAATTTACTTATTCCAATACGACCAAATAATTTATCTATTCACTCCCAAAAGAATAACAAATATTGGTATCAAAAGAAGTTTAAAAAAAATGGTGAATGATGGTTTTTGGTGGTAGTGACTTGAAAAATAGATTATCAATCTACTCCTTATTTTGGAAATTCACTCCATAAAGATTCCTCCAGTGACTTGCGAAAATGACATTGAATTCAACTACAGACCACAAACAGGACAAAGCTCTCCAATAACGAATTTCAAGAGTAAGCAGTCAGTTACCAAAGACTCCGCTGATTATAGATAAGTCGATAAGGAAAACCTCGAGGCAGTCCATGTGCAGTAACCATCACTAGCTCTTTCAACTGCGCAAGAGATGCAAATAGTTATGGATCAACTCTTACGCATCATTAGTATCATGCAATGCTTCCCAGAGAATTAAAACCTCTCCATCTAATAGTTCAATGTGCAGCTCCTACATTACATTCTACCAAACTCTTATCTCAAGCAACATTGAGAACAACGTTAGTAGATAATTATACCAAAGTTCACTTTATCAGGCCAAAATTAACCAGTAAACTTCAGAGAAAGCAGGTCCAGTATGTAATGAAGCAAGTAAAACACGAAGGTATTGCAAAACTCTACCAAACCACTAACTTCTGAATAAATGACATTCGTACAAGTAGTTATCCTTGTAATTTTATACTCAATGAACTCTTAGTACATGCAAAAGCTTCAGAGAGAGTCAAAGAAAAGTGCTGAAGAATGTTTATCACTGTCTAGAGTAATAAATCAATTTTTTTCTAAATTAAAAAGCAAGGGGTGCAACCCTGGTTCAGTGACTTGGACGGGCTGTTCCGAGAAGGCGAGAACGAGTCCGAGAGGTTGATGCCGGGTGTGGCAACCCGTTTCATTACTCAAAAATTTATGCAAAGACAATGCCAATCAATTCCTCAAAGATAATGAAAAGTGAAATCCAATTGGAAAAAATCAATGAAAGAAAATTACACCAGAAACAATCAGAAACTAATCTAATTACCTGTATTTATGCCAAACCTGTCTCCTGAAAAAACCGTTGAAAGAACAGCAATTGGGAGGGACAGAAGAAGAAAGGGCCTGAGAAGGGCGACCGGCTTTGCTGGGTAGTGGCCGTCGAGTGAAAAGGTTTTAAGTTGTTAGCGAAGGCTGTGCAAAGGGTTTATGGGGGAATTTCGCCAATTGTGTGGGCTGACCGAGGCACTGTTTGGATTGAAAGGGGAGAGAAGGGAAGAAAAGGACTCTGGTGGAAAAGAATGGTAAGGAAAAAATGTAAAGGAAAGTGATTTCATCAATCTTGTTTAGATTAAATATGAAAGTGAAACAAAGAAAATATTGTAGATGGATATCATTGGATTATGGAAGGAAAAAAGGAAAGGAAAATATCACGTATTAGTGACAATTTTACCCATAATTTAACAAAGTCTAGTTTAGAAAAAATATTTTTAGCACTTTTCCCTCCTAGTTTTTGTTTCTATTTTTATTTTTATCATTAGGATGCGCGGGGTGTTTGGTACATGTAGTTAAAGAGAATTTTAAATTAGTTATTTGTTAGAATGCCAACGTTGGAAGAGTTGAAGGATGTGGCTTTCTTGATGTCCTGCGAAAAGTGCTGCTTGATCGGATGGGTTTGGAGCAGGTTTTTATCAAGGGTATTGATCTATCATTCATGATAATTTGTTACAGGCTATTCAGGAGTTCTTTAAGGGGGCCCAGCAACTAAGGAGATTCTCCAGTGCTATGTTAATTCTTTTTCCAAAGGTTCGTAGGGCATCTCAGTGGAGAGAGTTTAGACCTATTATCCTCTGTAATTTCACCTCTAAATTTATTTCGAAAATTTTGGCTATTTGGCTTAACTCATTGCCTCCCAAACTGATTTCTCCTTGGAAGTCCGACTTTGTTCCAAGAAGGGGTATAGTTGATAGTATCCTACTGGCGCAAGAATCGGCATTGGATTTAGATAAGAGATTGGGTGTTCGAATTTAATGTTAAAGTTAGATATGGAAAAAGCATATGATAGGGTGGAGTGAAATTTCTTACTTTTTATGATGAGACAATTTGGTTTTGCGGAGTGGGTCATAGATTTAATTTTCAGAACTTTGTCGAATAATTGGTTCTCAGTTTTGATTAATGGTTCTCCTGCAGGCTAATTTAAATCTTCAAGAGGTGTTCATCAAGGTGACCCACTCTCTTCGGCTTTGTTTTGTTGGTATCTGAATTCTTAGGACGGGGGTTACCAAGATTATTTTGCCAAGAGGAGAATAGATATTTTGTGTCTTCTAGGACTCGAATTCCCTATCTGGCCTTCACAAATGATATTTGATTTTTGCTAGATGCTCGAATAAGTGTCTCGAGGTGATGGTCTGCTTGTTTGAGCATTACCAGTCTGATTGCGAGCAAAGAATTAATGCAAATAAGAGTTCATTCCTGATCTCTAAGCGGGCGTCGGATGAACAATGTTCATTAGTGGCATCGAATTTACATTTCCAATAGTAAGGTTTCCCTTTTACCTATTTGGGCGCACCTATCGCTAGGGGTCGAGCTACCTGCATCTTATTTGATTCAATTGTTGCTAGAATGAGGGAAAGATTGATTCATTGGAGTGTGAAGCTATTGTTTCCTTGGGGTAAGTTGGTGCTGCTTAGACATGTGCTTAGTTCAATTCCTATGTATTTATTGCAGGTACTGTGAGAACTCGTAAAATTATTATTTTTCGACTCCTATTTTTGCTCATTTAATTATTTATTCAAATATTTGCTTCGATTATTATTTCCTAGCCTTATTAGACTTAAATACATGGAGTCATGACTTCATTATAGTTTTAAAGTGACTCGTTTCAAAAATTAATTTTTTGAAAACTCGATTAATGAAAATAGTGAAAACGTGTCTGAAAACTTTAGCCATTTAGGAGTACAATAAGTTCAAAACTTGGAGACATGTACAATGGTCCTAAAATAGGTAATTCTAGGTGTAAATACTCAAGTGATAGTTAGTGGTACGATCGTTATAAGAATTTCTCGAAAATTTCACTTTATCGCACCTAAATTGGAAATACGCGTTTTCACGCGAGCGCTTAATTGAGAGACTTTAGACCATTATTTTGGAACAATTAAGAGTGGATAATATTTATATGAATATAAGTGTACTAGAGGTTTAGTGCACTAGTAAAACAAATGCAAGAAGAATCGATCACAAAACGCGCGCGTACGCACACTATTGGAGAGTTGACTTTTGTACACTTAAAACCAAAATTTGCTAAGCTTCTCACGGAAGTTTTATCATCAGCAAACACTCCTTTTTCCTTCTCATTTGACCGAACCAACAGCAGCAAAAACAACCAAGGCTTCTCAAATTTTTCCATCTCCAAATTCTTGCACCAAACCTTCATAGATTCACACCAAACTTCACATACACTTAGCTCTACACTCGGACACCTCTTTGAGCTGCAAAAGGGAGCTAAAACTCACGGTTTTTCAGGAGCAAAAAGGGCCGAAAATCACTGCCTTGGACATCAACTAAAGTAAGTAAAGATCAAGCTTTCTAATTTCGATTTTTGGAAGTCCTAGTATACCTTTAAGCTCTTATTTTCATATGGGTTGATGTTGTTGTTGGAAAAAGTGGAATGTGGGTTCTATGAACTCCCACCCTTGTCTTGGAGACTGATCTCATGCTTGATGATGTTTATAATGTTGGATTAGTGTTTAAACTAGTGGATTATTGGTGAAAAATTGATGGAAACTCATGATGGGTGCAAAGGCCAAATCTAACCATTTTGCCCCTGCTTTGTTCGGCCACTTTAATGCAAAAATTTGAGGATTTAATGGCTTGATTGTGTTGTTTACATGTTGTAGTAGTTGTATAAAAATTTTCATTGAAAAATACTGAGTTTTGGTTGGTCAAATGAATTTATTTCCCAAAGCTAGTAATCTGGAAACTGTTCTCGTAATGCTCAGACCAGTGTTCATATTTCATCCATAACTCCATGCTCCGACGTCAAAATCAAGTGCCGTTAGTGGCATTTGAAATTAGACATTCCCACCTTTCCAACTGTATAAAATGCACGTTCTGGTTCCATGTGTGTGAGCCGCACCACTCTTTTGAACTCAGCTGTTCTGTTTCTCTGTTCTGCTGGAATGAAATACAGAAGCTGTGATTTGAAACTCGATTTCGTGCTAGTTGTGTACTGAATTTCAAAACGTTTTCTTTTGTGAAATTTTAGCCCTATGAATGTATTTTCCAACACTATCAACCATGCTCAATTCTGAGTTAAATTGAGTGAGTTATGATCAAAATACGGAGACTGCCCTGTTCTTGAAAACCCCAACTTTTGGACTGATTTGAGACAAGACTTGGAGTGGTTTTGCTAATTGAGTTCCGTGGTGTTAAACACCTACTAAATGTACCATGTATGTTCCTTAGGCCTTTCCTGCACAAATGAACCATGTTTGGAGGATTTTCCTTGGCCAAATGTTTGGAAATGAGGAACAAGAAGTTCAAGGCAGTTATGCCTTAAGAATTTTTCAAAATTTTGGTTGGATAGTTGACTACCTTCCCGAAGGTATTTTTCCATGAAATTTGATAGAGAGATGCCCTTCATATAGGAGTATTATACTGCTAAATTTGATACCAATCCAAGTCCGTTTCGATACTTAACTAAAGATCCAAAGTCGGAAACCCAAATCTGGAATTTGTTCAACAGTCTCGAATTTTCCCCAACTTTGAACTACCGTATCTCGGTGCTCGAAACTCCGATCCTTGATCCGCTTTTTCTGTTATAAACCTTACCTGCAACTCTAATTGAGCTACAAATTTCAGAGACTAGCTCACAACGTGTGAATTTTGTCGAATTTCCAAAGTTAGCGAAAAATCAACCCCGACTCAATTCTGAGTGTTCTGGAACAGCAATTTTAAACCCATTTTTGAAGACCTTCCACTTAGATTCATGGAAAAGTGTCTTCTAAGAACTTTTAGTACTTTCAAAGAGGTTTGCAACGGTACCAAGTTTTCCAATTTTTGACATGTAGAATGTGAGATACGATTTTTCAAAATATCATATCAAAACTAAAAATTTTTCGAATTCCAAAAGAAGGGAGTTTTCAAGCACTCCTTATCCCTTCGATATTACTTGAACGTTTTATACTTGATTTCCCAAAATGAAAACTCGATCGCTCTTGTACTTTAAGAACTCTAGTTGAACCTCGATTTACGAGTAATTGAGGTTCGTTTTCATGAAATTTCCTTAGATTGTACTAACATACAATCTTCCTTGATAATTGAGGCACGTGAATGATAATACATTATTATTTGCTCAGGCGCCCACGAGGACCTTCAGGAGGATCCTACAGTGAACACTTGAACTTTCAGAAAATATTTCTTCTTAATTTGCTCGGTGAGTGTTAAGTGTATGAATACTTGTACTCTCTGGACTTGATTCTTGCTTGGTTTACCTGATTACGTGCTTAGCCCCCTTGTTTTAGAAAAATAGAGCCGAGTGTGTACTTTATCGCACTCGTTCTCATTTGAAAACAAATTACTCATGCTTAACATGATTTACCTGGTTTACATGACTTGAAATACCTGCTTAGATCTGTCAAATGCTTGAATACATGACATGGTATGCTATGGCTGCATACGTCGTTGAAATGAATCTTCTCGACACTTACACGATACATGGGGGACGCCCAAACTCGTAGGCCGACCTTGGAACTCGAGCCGACATGGGATTGGTCGGGAACCTTGGTGAGCCATGAGAATTACATGATAAGCCTGATCTATTTGAGAGATCTTGTTTGGCATACTCGTGGAGTATAGCCTTCTAAATATCGTGCGGGCCCGAAGCGGTGTATGGTGGACAGATGAGAAGTAAGTGGTGATCTACGGTTTGGAAATATCAACCCGGTTGACGGAGAGTCATCGCGGGAAGATATACGAATGAACTGGCAAAGCAAGTGAAATTTAGCTCCTGAGAGCTACCATATCCTTGAATTGTATCTGTTTACATTTTGTTGGCATTATTAACTACTTGCAAGTTATCACTTGAATTGTTATTTGGGCTTGTTACATGAGCTATGTACCTGTATGTGTGTTCTTGGTCTTACGAGCGTTTTTGTTCACCCTGTAGATTTGTTTTCCTTAACAGGTTTGAACTCGAAGGTGTACTGGGGAAACCCTCCTGATGTGTTTTTGTTTAGGGTTTCTATTACATTTTGGCTATGCCCCTTGGTTTTGGATTGTACTTTTGAAATTGAAAT